GTCCCATTCAGGAAGCCAGGTGGCGTGTAATGACTCGCCACCTGGCTTCCTTATTAGCCGGGCAGCGTGTAAAGACCCGCAAACCCGGCTTCCCGATTAATAAGGAAGCCGTCCCATGCTTTACGTCACTATGTGACGAGAAAGCATGGAGCCGGCTTGCTGGCCAATCAAGCAAGCCGGGCGCCGCGTCATTACATGCTCTGCTTCCTGATTGGCCGGGAAGCCGGCTACATGCTCACTCGTCATGAGATGACTGCTTGCTGGCCAATCAGAAAGCCGGGCGCTGCGTCACAAGTGATGTGAGAGCATGGAGCCGGCTTCCCAGCCAATCAGGATGCTGGACAGCGTGTAATGACGCGCTGCCCGGCTTCCTGATGCAGGAAGTATCGGGCTAGGCATCAGAGAATTTGGGCGAGTAACTACAAATTGAGCCCCCCTTACAATGTGTATGTATATAAAACAGTTTAAATGTTTAAAAACCTATTATGAATAAAGAAAGTGACTCAAATCCATGACATGTCCCCTTTTAGAAAGGCTTTATTGACCATATGATGGCATATTTTACCCACGTTCTGCTATGTTTTTTTGTTTTTTTTCCCCACAAATCCGTCAACCCATTTATATGGGAATGTTATGACTCATTTTTCTGCTGCCAAGATCATTTACAAGTCCCATGGGCAGACATTTAGAATAGTTCTGTATCTGACTAAAGCTACCATCCTGATTAAGTCCATTGGGGGAACACTTTGGTTTGTTTAGAGAGATCTCCACAGCAATGGATGGGAGACACTCAGTCCTAGCAGAACACTGCTGTACATTCCATAACCCCACGATGAAAGCCAGATGCTCATATAGAAAAGGAGACTATATTCTCCTCTAATGATTTATAGGGGCAGATTCTTAGCTGGTTACAAGATCTACAGTGAATTTAGGGATTATGTTTTACAAATGCTGATCACACACTTAGCAATCTTATTTTCAGTTGTTTTTTTAAAACAAAAAGTATGAAAACCTCAACAAATGTGATTATTATTTAGCAGTATTCAGTAGAAAGGAGAAGTAATCGTGACCTAAGAGCTGACAGCTGCTATGACTGACCAAGCAATACATGCTGTGGATCTTCAACCTTTTAGTGCTGTGTTTTTTTTTCTTCATGTTTTTTTTCCATCATGCCACAAGCAGGTCAGTGCAGCCACATCAGATTGTGGAAGCTGCAGAAATTTGTTTACCTTCTGTTGTTTTATTTGATAAGAATACTTCTATTGTGCCTACAAGTTTAATACCTTTGAATAAAAGTTTTATTTTTATCACACTTTTTAATATGTTTCTTTGCGGCTTAACAAAATAGGAGTCTTTAAATGGTGCATATATTGGGGGAAATGGGTGTGGTTACGGGGGCGTGGCCACTAAAGGGTGTGGCCACTGAGGGGCGCTGTAAAGCTTTCTCGCACAGGGCGCCTAAAGGCCTAAGGCCGGCCCTGCCAGCAAGGTTCCAGGCCATAGGGCTACCATGATGGAGCATTACTCCCTATTTATTAGTGATTTTCTACCTTTAATTCTGTAATTTTATTCAGTAATTTATTTTTCTTATGTCCAGTGAATTAAAATGATAAACTTTACGTACAATTACAAAAGCTTGATATGTATTAACACTGCTTCGTCTATTCTTCTTGCAGATGTCACTGATCATGGGGCGCAAAGAGATGCTAGCGTATTCCAGACACAGATATCTACCGGAGCAGCACCTACAGTCAGCTCTTCCCCCACAACACCCGTACAGAGTCCTCTGCATCCCAGCACTTCATCATATGCTCAGAGCCCAGTACACCCCACCGCCAATCCACAGACACACAGTCCAGTGAACGGGCACAATGAGGAAGCCTTTATGTACCCTCAAAACCCAATGCATGCAAGTACCCCTATAAACACATACTGCCAACCAGTGCAAAAACTACATAACCATGTCCACACACAAAGTACAGCTGTGCAAACCCAAACCAGCATTCTGGTGCGCACTGGCTCCACGTCTTCAGCCACACAGAGGGCACAACTACAAGCAGACCATTCAACACAGCCACAGAGTCAGTTACTGCAGCATAATGCATTAGCAAAACACAACTCTTCGCAAGCACATAGCCCTCCACATGCACATGTGCATTTCCACAGTCAAGTGGTCACACAGAGCCCTGTTATACCAGGTAATGGCTATGTTCAGCATAAAAGTCCTCCTGTTCAGTGTCAGAGCCCTGACAAGATGCATAGCTCACATATCCAGGTGTATAATGGCGCGATGTCCCAGGAACAGAGGATACAGGCACACACTGTTATGCACACACAGAGTGTGAATTCTCATCCTCAGCCTCCTGTACAGTCACAGAGTGAAGGAAAAGCCCCTGCCACTGTGCAGGTACAGGCTGTAAGTTCACACTCCTCTTCACAGAGTACTACAGTCCAAACTACACAGTGCCAGAATACACAATCCCCTTCACTTGTGAATTCGCATAACTATGCAGCTCAGACGGCCACTGTTGTACGTACACCGACAAGTAGCCCCAAACAGAATTTAGTCCATCTGCACATTCCTGTCAGCACAGAAGCTCTGAGTATGCAAAGCAACAGTGCCATTCAGGCACAGCATCAGACCGGGAACACAGAGAGCAGTGCACAGACACACAGCACAGTGCACACACAGATATCTTCTATAACCCTACACAGTCCAGTACACAAACAGACCCCCCAAGTACACAGTACTGTGCGTATTCAAAGTCCTTCTTTTCAGACATTTAAAAACCCCTGCAGCCAGGGACCACCTGTACCAAATAACAGACCGGTGCTCTCACACAGTCCCTCTTCGCAGCCTTCCAGCCCTGGCACTACAGACAGGTGAGCCTATGCCTAGTGAGATCACATTGTACTAACAGGGAAGTCTATGTTTCACTAAGCTATATCTTAAAACAGGTTAGGTTTATTGTTGACATTAAAGTGGAATTATACGTAATATACCTTCCCTCCAGCAGTGCAATGTTCATGAGCTCCCTATCCAGCCACTGACATGTACACTCGGTCTTCTTCCGAGTACGCAATCTTTGGCCATCTTGACTGGCTGTGCCAGGATGATGTAACTCCTGTGTATTCATCTCGGGAGATGCCGAAATTGTACACTGAGCTACGTGTGCACAACTCGGTGTACATTGTGAACAGTCAGGTAAGAATATTTTATTGCAGAAGAGACATCACATGTCTCTTCTACAATAAAAAAACTGCCTGTTTGCAACCTTTAATGTCTGCTGTCAAGTTCCACTTAAAAAATACAAACCTCTTCTATGTACTGCTTTGTGTTTGGCTGGTGTACCTGACAGCTTGCAGGCAGTTGCAGCAAAGATAAAAGTAGCACCATGGAAATTGTTGTCGTGGGGCATCTTGCACCCCTTAAGATGTATGGAATGTCCTAAATATAAATGATCTACTTCTAGGGACGGTGTAGTCATTTTGTACATATTTTCTGTCTTTGTACATTATGGTCAGTACTAAGTATATCAATATGAAATATTGTATGTAGCTGTTATGTCATTTTCTTTGCTGCCAGCAAACGTAACTTTAGTCTCCTTGTCAGTTCATTAGCATTATATCGGATATATACGGATCTCAATAAGATGTCAAAGCAGTAACTTCTCCCTTATCAGAAGACTGAGTCTGAGGTTTCTATCAGACAAGCTGAGCATTAAAGCACGCTGCACTGCTGTGCCCTCTGTGCCCTCTGTTTAGTTAGCCCATAGTGCTCTGGGAATACTTTGATTTCTATTAAATGTTTATTAGTAAAAGCAGAATAAATAATACAAATAATAGTATTAACATGTATAAACATATTAGAGAAATAAAACTGACTCCAACATATAATCATTATAAAGGTATGACAATAGGATTTTTCATGGTGGTTATCCAATGACAACAAAAATGCTTAGAAATATTTCCTTGCTGATTGCTCAAAATCCAACCTTCTTTAACATTGCTGAAAAGCATACCAGAAAGACCAATGTGTTTTCCATTTTACAGGCCTGAAGCCCCACATTCTGATCTTTTGCCCTCAACATCAAATGGACATTCAGCCTTTCCACAGTCCCCATCACATATAACAAAGTCCGCCCCTCTGATGGCTGTACCACCGACCACAGTGACCATGGAAAGCAACCAAGGACAGGTGTCAGTAAATCCTGTTTGCGTCTCTACAGAAACATCTACTTCTCCTTACATTCACTACAGTCTACCCACTGGAACCAGTTGCCCTGCCCATCCCCCTACTGTGCCAAATAACCCTGTTGTACCCCAGAAGAGAAGTATTACAATATCCCTTCCTGATACCTCACCCACCATCTCCCATGGAGGAAGGGAGGTACCTAGCAGCCCACCACTTTCTCCCATGGGAAGCCAGATAGAACTCCTGTCTCCATCACCAACTCCATCCTTCCCTATCAGCACCGCTTATTATTCTGGAAGCCCCTGTCCTCCAAATGGCCAGCCACCGGTATTGCCAGAAAAGTGCCATATTCCAGCTTCAGGGGACAAATCCGGGACTCTTGGAAGACCAAGACAGCTTCAAGAAGACAAGTCACCCACAACTAAAGGTAAAATAACAAATGCCTACAGCTTTCAACTAATATATGAATGTGTAGAAGAGACTGAAATGTTTCCTTTCTTCTTTCCGACATTCAGATGTACAGCAGGAGGTTCCACTGGCTGCAAACTTTGTGCAGGATTCCTCTAGATTTTGGTATAAGCCAAATATATCCAGGGAGCAAGGTAATGGAATCTCTTTATTATCATATTTCCCCTTGTGGTCTGCATTTTGCTGCAGACAGATGTATAGTTACAGTCCACTGGATGTTGCAAATATGTATTGGTCTTGCATGTAATTACCAATGTACTGTAATACAATTACTAGTCTGTGATATATTGTAATGCAAATAGTCAGTAAATCTAAACTGAAGAAAACCAAATGTCATGGATTGCAGCTTGCCAGTCCTTACATGTGGTGACTGCATTTTCTTTTTTTCAGGGTTTTTTCCTTTAGTTTCACCTGCCAGTAACACTTCCTGTCCAAGGGTGACTCTCCATACTGTACCTATGGAGGAGTAGGGTTGTCACCATAGAACAGGAAGTTTGATAGGACTGTAGAACACCTCCCCATCTCCTTATCTACATAAGAGGGGAGGTGGTATGTAGATCCTCGAAGGTAACTGAGAATAATGATAGCTGATAACAATTAGCAGAGGCAGAGAACAGGGGATGTTTGAGCTCAGTAGATTTTTGGCAGGATCAGCAGGTATCTTTTTGGACTAATCAAACCGATGTAACAAAACACTTTCAGTGTTATATTTAACACACCAAAAGGGAGCAATTAAAAGAAGTTAATTGTTAAGGTTTTATACAAATTTTGTGTCTGAATTGAACAATCTCTGTACAATCAACCTTATATTTCCTAAAACTATGTAATATGAACACCAGCCTAAAGTAACCAATCAATTTGAATCCAATCAGGTATGCCCTTGCACTACATGTTTGATGGTCATTCTAAAGGAGATCGCACAATTATATTGCAGTGTGTATGGTGGACCTTAGATCTGAACCTTTTCTGCAGAGTAACAGCTGAATTCAATCTGATTTGTGATTGTTGTAGATGTAAATGTTATCAGCATTGACACACCAATACAGTGTACAGTAGGAGTTGTTGTGGGTTATCTACTTAATTTAGCCTTGTTCATTATACTTCCTTCTTTGATATTAAATGACTGAGCTAGAACATTTACTTCTCAGCAATGAGAGCAGACAATAGCAGTCACATGGCTGTAATAATAATTGTTACAGCAAATAAAATGTGCATTATAGCTTAGAGAACTGTATTTTACATTTACACCTTCTGCTCCTCACCTTTCCATTGTACTCCTTCTCTCACAGCCATTGCACTTTTAAGAGGTGCAGAGCCGGGGTCCTTCCTGATTCGGGATAGTAACTCTTTCCGTGGGGCGTATGGTTTGGCCCTGAAGGTGTCCAGCCCTCCTCCCAATGTGCCCACACAGCCATGTAAAGGTGATTTACCTCAGAGTTATCTTATCGTCATTGTCAGTATTGAGGCTCCGTTCATATAACTCTCTTCCTTCTTTCTTCAGATCCATTGGAACAGCTGGTTCGTCACTTTCTTATTGAGACAGGACCTAAAGGAGTGAAAATCAAAGGCTCCCCCATTGAACCCCATTTTGGTGAGTCATAAATTGACTACAGTAGTTGTTCACAGCCTCTAACAACCCTCCTAAGTGATAGCACCGAGTAAGTGACAGGTCCTCTTCATGGAAACATCAGGAATCTGTTAAACCTCTGTCACCTATTGACCCCACTGAAGCTGATAAAGCACAAATTGTGCTTCCCCAGCTTCTTCTTTAGCCACAGCACCTGAAGAAATTACAAACCAGAAGCTTCTGGATTTAGTCATCGGAGGGGAGATCAACCGCTGGAAGTGTGCTGATTCCGTTCCGCCAGTCAGCGCTGGCAGATCGGAGCGGGGAGAGGGGAATCCAGCCCCTCCCCCTGTCACAAAAGAGAGCAGTGACAGGATCGAGAGGTGAGCGAACCCGGTATGTTTTCCCTCACCTCCCGATCTACTGAGCCGACCTGTGACAGTCTCATTGTCATAGGTCGGCTTAGAACTATGAGGTGAGTGGAAATCACTCATGTCATAGTTCTCCTTTAATATTACACTTATATGAGCTTTGGGACATCCCACTCTTAACACCAAAGGCATTAATATGGTGTTGGCTGCCCCAGATGTTAGACAAGAAGAAGTGGCTCACAATTGGCATTCCAGTTTATCCCAAAGGTTTTCAGTAGGGTTGAGCTCAGGGATCTGTGCAGGCCACTCAAGCTCCTCTGCACCAAACTCCTCATACCATGTCTTCTGAACCTGGCTGTGTGCACAGTCACATCTGTCATGCTGGAACAGAAAGGGGTCTTTCCCAAACTATTGCCCCAAGGTTTGAAATGCACAGTTGCCTAAAATATCTTTGTATTGTATGCTAAAACATTAACAGTTCTCTTCACTAAAAACACTAGAACTCAATAATATGGGATGCCAGCAACATTCTATAGCTAGGTGTGATGGTCACGTGTCTGCAAACCTTTGGACATGTAGTGTATTTTCTTTATTTAGGTCAGGACTAAAAAGTAAACTTTGGTATTATTTTCATATTTTTTAGCCTGCTAGATATGAAATAATGCCTACATTTATTTTATACTTTACAGACAGCTGGTAGGTGAAGCCTTAGGTTTAGATATACTGTACACAGATAATAAAACCTCACTTAAAAAATATATGTGAATTTAAAATTAATTTAACTAAACCCATTGTAGTCTCTCTTTTATTAGAAGACCTGTTTAATAAGCTGCCATGTTCTCATATGTCCCTGGTATAGGTTTTGAGGTTTCTGTGCAGAGGTTAATAGGTCCTGCTTGCCTGTATAGATGGATGAGACTGAGTCATGTGACTTGTGGTGTAGACAGGGCCATACAGTCATAATTATTTGAGTTGTAGAGGTTTGTTTCTAGCCTCAAGTTTCCCAGCGCAGTGTGCGTGTGCTGTTGTGCTCTCTTCCTCCTATTCTTGTTTCTGTGGTTGGATTTTGCAGCTCACATGTTTTAATATTTACCATCGTGGAGCTCTCATTCTGTACATTCCCTACAGACTATACCATGCAGTATATTATTCTCAGGGCTCTTCCTGCTGTGATGCACACCAATTCCTGCCTCAGGTGACACCCTCTAAAGGCACCCATGTACGTTCAGTCCAATCATTCCATAACAACTCAAAATGTAATCTAATCCAAAAGAAATAAGCTTGTTTATGGGTGAGCTGACTCTGTTATCTCATGTCGGGGATCTGGTGTTCTTCCTCCTGGACACAGCAGAGGCACACTGTGGTGCTGTTTAATGTCACCCCCTGTGTACAGGAGAGGTTTGGCCATCATATGGAGGGTGAAACATCACAGGTCAGAGATTGGAAATAGAAATGATGTGTTGTTGAACGCCAAGCACAGGAAAGCCCTTATCTTTGCTAGGCATGTAGAAAAAGACTTCCAACCATTAACGGGATAACTGTATAGAGCAAAATACTGAGAAGCGTGCAACTCTCCAAATGTAGGGTTGGATACAAGATGCAGGACCGTCATACCACCCAGAGTAAAACTGTTTAGCTTCCTTAACCTGGAACTACTATACACCTGAGAGTCAGAGAATGGCTGGACCAGCTGAAGCTTCTCGCAGAGGTATTTCATGTGCTGACCGATTACCTTTAAGACAACAGATCTTACAATTCGGCTTTTTGATTTGGTAGCAGAGCACAGGTAAATCTATTTTGGAGACTTTCACCATCACTGTACTGAAAGGATTGTTATAGTGATGCAGATGACTACCATACAAATGTTGGTGTCACTGGATTTAATCTTCCAAATGGTAGAAAATCTCCAGTATGTCAGAATTTATGGCCTGTCAAAAAAAAATAGTCCAAAAGTGCTTGTTTATGATTTTTATTACACGCTGAACACCCGTCATACACATGGCCAGTGTTCTGAAGAAATTACTATGTACAGTATATATATTGAGGATACACATGTAGACATCCCAGTGGGCCTGGAGAAGGGTTTTTGTTTATTGGGTCTGTGGACACTATCTAGAAGAGCTTATGCCATGTAGATGCCTAAGAACATGTTTGTGAGCACCACACTTGTGTGTATAGTGATAACCACTAACATTTGAGCAAACATGGTCTCTATGTTTTCTAGGGAGCCTGTCGGCCCTGGTATCACAACACTCAATCACACCTCTGTCCCTGCCCTGCAGACTGCGCATTCCTGACAAAGGTAAGTGAACGGCTGCTTTTCCAGCTCCCTGAAGTGAGCTATCTTGTGGACCTGCTCAGTACCTTGATTACTATTTGGTAGAAAACCTGCTAAACCTTCTGTACAATATTTAAGCCTAGAGGGTCCTGACAGAGGCTCAGTATACTGTGCCATGCAGTTTCTGTTACAAGCTGAGGAGCCCTGTGACATGAGGGGCGAGGAATTCTCTACTCACTGCTTGCCTAAAAGACACCAATCTCGAATGCACCTAAGTTGGAGGGTTCCAACAATGCAGGGAAATTACTTCTGGCATAGACTAAAAGTGTCCACTTATATTTTACACATTAAACATTGAGGACCTGGTCTGGTGACAGGTTCAGTTTAAAGGAAAACTGTCAAGAGAGAAATATGGAGGTTGCCATTTCTGACTTCCTTCTGAAAATTGGAATGTGCCTGGTTTTCTCTAGCATCTAAATTCACAATTCCAGAACAAGCATGCAGCAAGTGAAATTATAACTCCCAATCTGTATAGCTCTTCAGGGTCAGTGATTCAGGAAGTACTGGCATAATTGAATCATTGGGTATCACTGCCAGGTAACCGGCTTAGTCAGCAGTGGCAGCCTGCTTGTTTGTTTTATCAGAGGTTTCCCTTAAGGGCTTTGTTCCTTTTATAAAGGAGGTGTAAGGACTGGAAACCTCAGTTCCTGTGCACTAGATCCCTTCAGATCACACAGCCCATTTGCTTTGTTGGTGTAATGCACAGGAACGCCAGAAAAGTCATCCCATCATCCTAATGTATGGACTCACCAAGTGCCGACCCCCTAATGACATAAAGAAACGTGTATAAAGAAAGCACCATATTATTTTACTATAGACCTTATTTCCTTCCTGATATATGGAGAATTTCAAATCATTGAGCTAATGAGAGATTTTCACCTTTTAAAGGAAACCTGTGCAGAGAACAATGCATAGGCAGCCATTTCTATGAACACAGAAGGGTCTGATCCAGAGGCCCACTCTTCAGTCATATATTTATTTCCCAGCTCCATGTCGGCACACAAATGGGTTGGCTCCACCCCCCACTAATGTGATTGATAGTCTCGCAACGCATAAAAATGAGCCATCCAGCGTTCCTTTTCTTTCCTCCTCTACAGTGCGATGGTCGCTTACCTGGTTGGAGTAAACCTCTGGCCGTCCACCCTGTTCGTTTTCCTGGAGAGGATGAGGGTGCAGTCCCCCTGGTTGTCCTAAATGGATGTGATGGTGGAGCCTCGCTACTGGTCCTCGAGGCATGCTGTGCTCAGTAAAGCTGGGCTTATGGGAGTGGGTCCCCCTCCCTTGGTGCCGGTGTTCTGTCAAGAATGCCGACCCATTCGAATTTGCCAACCAGACCATCTGCGCTTGCGCACACACCGGGATGACGAGAAAAAAGCCATTTATTTACAAAGTATTTATTTTTAATTGTTGATTGTGACCGTTCATAATATGCCATCCATGGCTGTAAATACTGGATGGCATTTTATGCACATTCACAAGTAACATCGTAAGCAGTTACATTATTATATAATTGCTTACGATATTAATTGTGAATGTGCATAAAATGCCATCCATCATTTACAGCCATACAGTAGATGACATATTATGAACGGTCACAATTAACAATTAGAAATAAATACTTTGTAAATAAATGGCTGTTTTCTCGTTCATCTTGGTGTGTGCGCAAGCGCAGCTGGTCTGGTCGGGAAATTCGTCTTGGTCGGCATTCTTGACCGAACATCGGCATGTGCGTATCCCGTCGGGGAGCTGGAACACAATGTGCGTTCTGGAAGTCCCCAGCAGATGTGACGTGGGCAGCACATGCACAACGTGTAGTCCTCAGTGTGGGAATCTGATTGGAGGAGGCGGGGCTGGGGGGCTTGCGGGTACTTCAAAATTCGGCGCTGTGCAGCGGGGCTCTGCCGTTGGGTGATCCCTGCTGTTATCTGGGATACCGCTGCCGCTCTGCATTTGATCACAGAATCCTGTGTTCAGGTATGGGAGGAGACACTATGTGGTTGGCTCTGAATGCTGTATGTGTATTTACAAGCTCTCTCTCTGTATGCAGAATGCTATCGGATAAGCCAACCCCTCCAAAAGACCAGCGCCTACAGAGAAGGTAAGCGACCGACTGCTGTTCACTGTTGTCTGCTTCTTGTGCGTGGTTCTGATGTTGCCTTGCCTGTCACTTTCAGTCCATCTAGGTCGGGCAGGGAAAGTTCCAGATTGCCTAGAGACCACCGCAATTTCTCCTCCTCCTCAAAAACACAGGTCTCCATCACGGGACAGATACTTTTCCAAAGATCGCCTGCAGTGGAACCGGGACAGATCCCGCCCGCAGGCGCATTCACACTCCTCAAGAGCCTATGACTCCTCCAGATGTAGCCCGCCACGTGCGGAGCAATGCTGGGTTTGTCCGAATGTGGTGCTTCCAGGCAAGACGGCTTGCGAGTCCTGCTATGCTGAAGCCACCAAAGAGAGGGAGAGCGAGAACTTGCAGGTGATCTCCCTGATGAGGCAGGTTTTTCAGGAATCCTTGAAAGATTTCGCTGCTGGCACTCGTTCGGGGGATCAGCAGGAAGCCTCTACCTCAAGATCCAGGGGGCTTTGTGCGGCAGTGAATTTACCTAGGGAAGCGCCAGGGGAGAGCTTTGAGTCCGGTTCAGAAGGTCAGTCCTCGTGAGGCACAGAAAATCAATCAGAAGCCTTTGACTTTGCGTTGGTGCCGCAGTTTGTCAAGGCGGTGAGACACGCACTCCTCTGGGAGGATGAAGCAGCTGAGCCGGATAAGAAACACAGATACTTTAAGCATATTAAGAAAGAAACTTTTAGTTTTCCATTTCTTGAAGAAATTAAGGACATCATCATTGAGGAATGGGAGCACGTAGAGCGAAAATTAACGCTACGTAGCCATTTCTCCAAGCTATACCCCTTCAAAAAGTAAGAAATTAAGTACCTTGAAGAGTCTCCAGTAGTGGATGCCGTCTTAATCAGGCTGGTGAGACATGCAACTCTACCACTGGATGATGTGGTCACGTTCCGGGACATACTGGATAGACGCATCAACTTGGATCTGAAAAAGGTATACTTGGCAGCAGGGTATGGCTGTAAACCAGCTGTGGCCCTGGCAGCAATTTCCAAAGCTGTGAGGTATGGGCGAACGAGTTGCAGTGGTCTGTATCCAGTAATCTCAATAAAGCGGAGCTGGAGATAATGAATTTGTTGAGAAACATAAAGCTATCCTCAGCTTTTGTCACAGAGTCTGCTGTGGACATGGTCTGCTCTATGGCCAGAGTCATGCTCTATTCAGTGACTGGAAGAAGAGCTCTCTGGCTTCGGCCATGGTTTGCAGATCCGACCTCGAAACAAGGTTGGTGCAAGATCCTCTTCGATGGTCAATCCCTCTTCGGAAACAAATTGGAATCAGCCATCTCGGGCGGAAAAATCTAGCTTCATTCCGAACGATCGGCGTCTCTTACACCAGAAGAACTTTTTAAATTTAGAAGCCAGTCTCAAAGGTTTACTAGGGACTCGAGGTCTTACAAACCTGGGAAGGAGGATCGCAGGCCATGGACAGGACATGCAGAAATCTTTTTGATGTCTTGCTCACCTCGATCTGCCAGGTTTTCCAGGTTTCGGCAGGTTTGGGCGGACCAAATAAGGGACCTGTGGGTGATGACCACGTGCATAGTTTGTACCTACCAAGATCCCCACCTCTGTGAAGAAACAAATGATTTTGCGGACATACGTATCAAACCTGCTAGGGTGGAGCAGCAGAGGTGGCACCCCCAAGAAAGTTTCTCGGGAATTTATTCACCTCTATTTCTTGTTCAAAAGAAGAGCGGGAACTGGAGGCCAGTAATTGATCTAAGAAGGCTCAGCAGACACATACCGAAGGAGCGCTTCAAGATGGAATCTCTGCCTACGATCTTGTTGATTGGACAGCCAGGAGACTGGCTACTTTCCATCCTTCCAGCGGTTTCTCAATTTCTTGGTGGCCCACCTTCACCTGCAGTTTGTCTGCCTACCTTTTCGGCCTCACATTGTCTCCGAGGGTCTTCACAAAGGTGCTGCTTGCCCTGATGGCTTATCTGAGAGAGCATGGGGTAGGAGTACTACATTATTTGGATGGCATTCTGTTGCTCAGTCAAGATCGACAGAAGTTGATGTCCCATTGGGAACTGGTCATCTCAACCCTGGAAGCCTTTGGATGGCTAATCAATGTGGACGAGAGCCATCTGGTGCACACGCAGGTGTATCTAGGAGCAGGGTGAATACAATTCAAGCCTTGGTATCATTACCTCTAGAAAAGATGCCGATCATTCAGCTGAGGATTTTCAAGGCTCTCTCTGTGAATACCATGTCAGCAAGACAGTGCTTGCAGGTGATCAGCACGATGATTGCAACAGCCCCCATGGTGAAGTGGGCTCTACGGATAGCCAGGGAGTTTCAGACCGGTTTTCTGAGGCGCTGGAGTACGGAACTCCTAGATCAGACAATATTACTGAGCCCAACCATGAAACAGAGTCTTTGGTGGTGGCTTTAGGATCACAAACTCCTTTGCTGTCACTCCCTCCTGCCAGTACCTTGGGTCATGATCACAACAGATGCCAGCAACACGGGATGGGGAGCTGTTTGTCAAGCTCAGGCGACACATGGAAGATGGGGCTTCCCAGCCGCAGGCATTGTATCCAATATTGGATACTGGAGCTAAGAGCGGCCTTTCTGGCTCTCCTGATATTCAAGTCTCTAGTCAAGGGTCGCTCCGTCGTTTTGAGGATGGACAACACTATTGCAGTGGCATACATCAGAAGGCAGGGCGGCAGGCACAGCCTCACACTCCTGAAAGAAGTTGCTCCGACCATGACCTGGGCCCAGGCGAACCTGAGTCTTCTCTCGGCTGTGTACGTACCGGGACGCGACAATGTCCATGCAGACTTCCTCTCCAGGAGGGGGTTGGACAACAACTAATGGTCCTTCTCGCCTCTGATCTTTCGGGAACTGACAGAGTGGGCCTTTTGGCCACAAATCAATCTATTCGCGCCCCCGGAAAAAACAAATCTGTCAACCTTTTGTTCGAGACTACCATGCCCTCAAGCGGCAGCAGCAGATGCACGTGCAAAGAGCTGGTGGTTCAGGACAGCATACGCTTTTCCACCAGTGCTTCTCATTCTAGGCTTCTTGCAAAGGCTCCAGAGGGAACGGGTCATGGTACTGGCAGTGATTGACTGGCCGCGTCACCCCTGGTATCCACTTCTCCAGGGAGATGGCGGTAAACAGTCCTTATCCCCTAGCGTTGTGCAAGGACCTACTGACCCAGGGTCCGTTTTCCCATCCAGCTCCCGAGAAACTCTGTCTGATGGTCTGGATGTTGAGAGGCAAAGGTTAGAAGACATGGGCTGTTTGACTACTGTGGTTTCCACATTGCACAGGTCCAGAAAAGAAAGCACCTATAATCAGGTATGAACTAAGTTTAGAGAGTTTGCGACCCTGCTGGATTTCTCCCCAGAAGCCCCTCGGGTCACTCACATCCTGGATTTCCTTCAGAGGGTCCTTGATATGAATCTGAGTTCCAGTACCCTCAAAGGGCATGTTTCGGCACTGAAGCCTTCACCGGGACGCAATGGGCGGTACATCCCTTGATCATCAAGTTTTTCAAAGCGGTAGTGCAGATGAGACCTCCCAGAAAGTTGCTCTTCTCCAAGTGGGATCTCCTGCTAGTCTTGGCCTTCTTTATCTCAGATACGTTTGAGGCTGATGACTCTCTGGCTCACAGTTTTTCTGGGCCAGGAGGGTGTCTGAGATCTCGGCACTCGGCTGTAAAAAACCTTTCACCACCTTTTAGGGAGGATAGAGTTGTTTTGATGCCTATGTTGGGATTGGTACCAAAGCTAGCCTCCGGGTTTCATCTGCAGCAAGAAATAGTGCTTCCCAACCTTGACTCGAACGTGGAAGGGCAGGTGAGCGGATTGGATGTAGGAGGAACCCTGAGCTTATATATGGCACCTCTTTATTATCTCGGCCAAGGCAAAGAAAGGCTCCAGGGCGTCCACGAGGACTATTGCCTCCTGGATGGTGAAGGTTATTACCTTGGCCTACAAATCTAAGGGGTTGGCGACTCCAGAGTCAGCCATGGCACATTCACCACGCAGCATCTCTACCTCTTGGGCAGCCCCGAATCGCGTGTTGCCGGAGAATATATGCAAAGCAGCCACATGGTCTTCGGTCCACACGTTCATGAAACTTTACTGTATTGAACCTGCTGCATTGACTACAGTAGGGTTTGGGCGCAGTGTCATTGCCTTGTCTGCTTCTGTTCAAAATTAAAAGTTTGGTCTAGTTATTTCCTATTTGTGTGCTGACATGGAGCTGTCAGGGAAAACAGGAAAATTGTACTTCATACTTACCGCAATTTTCCTTTCCTAAATGCTCCATGGCAGCACAAGATTCCCGCCCAGCCGGAGTTGCTAGTAACGTAATGCTGGATGCTGCTGGGTGGCTCATTTTTATGAGTTACAAGTCTCACTTGTCTTTTAATTAGATGAAAAGACAAGTGTTTCATTAAATCCAGCTGAAGCTGCAGACAAATCCTCAGCGTGTCTGCACATAGTCCCGTCTCCCCCCTACGTAACAATGCATCAGCATGTGACTTCTTCAGGGGTGTGCTGCCAGGACTCCCCAATCACGTTATATATACAATATGGTTTCTTGGGAGACTACAGGCAGCTTTTCTTAAGGTATTCCTATCATCACACTAATTGGCTGTGCCTACATGGGTGAGGCATATGTTTGCTTGAAAGAGCAAGTTCCCTTAAAGTAAAATGTGCACTACACCACCATCCCATCTCCCCTAACCTAAACACCCCCTACCCAACTGCTTGCTTATCACAGTGCCACAGCTGCTGCTGTTCACCTTCTTCAGCTCTTTCTGCACAAGGAGCCCCTTTAGACTCTAAGACTGAAACCACTTGGGTTTTGGCCTCATTCAAGTGTATACTGCATGGGCACAGCCAGTACTAAAGATTTCAGACTGTAAACTTGTCACAACCACCTGGGAAATTTAAAATTTAGCATATGATGAAAAAAGTGAAAACCACATCTATGAACAACTAGTAGATCACAAGATAAAGGCCCTGGTGGCTTTACTGTATCAGCCTAGCTTGGCCCTGTCCTGACCTCCAAACCTACCTGCTGGTCAGTGAGGTTACCCATCAAATCAATGATAATTTTGCAAAGATTGAAGGAATAGTGGACCTTTGCCTCTGTATTTAGCTGTCTACATCTGCAGGTCTATTGATCATGTTGACATTCTGTTTTCCCTGGAAGTAACCTCTAGTTACACATTTATTTAGTTATCATAGGCTTAGTTTGAATGGCAAATGTTTACCAGCATACAGTGGCTATATGATATAAAAACAGATGGTTTTCTTTAGAGCAGCATATACATAGAATGCCACATTCACTTATTATTGTATCTTTTTCTGTAAATGAAGGTTGGGAGATCTGTCCTGTTATACAGTGCTCAAACGGGGGAG